CTCCGCGGCACTGCTCCCACTGGACTCGTGGGGTCACCCTCCCTGGTTCACATACTGGGAGGACAAGGACAAGTCCAAGGTCCTCCTTCCCTATCCCACCAGCCCACCCCATCTGCTTCACCAATCATATCCAACAAACACTTCTCAATGAATGATCTGTGAGAGGATTATCTTTTTAAAATATCTTTTAGGAGCCTCTTTACCAAGATGGTGCCAAAGGCGAAGAAGGAAGCCCCTGCCCCTCCCAAAGCTGGAGCCAAAGCAAAAGCTTTGAAGGCCAGGAAGACCCTGCTGAAAGGTTTCCACAGCCACAAAAAGGGCTGTTCCCGTAGTGTAGTGATTATCACGTTTGCTTCCCACAACCACAAAAAGAAGATACTAACGTCACCCACCTTCCGCAGTCCCAAGACACTGTGGCTCCGGAGGCAGCTCAGATACCCTCGGAAGAGCGTCCCCAGGAGAAACGAGTTTGACCTCTATGCCATCATCAAGTTCCCCCTGACCACAGAGTCAGCCATGAGAAAGATCGAGGACAACAACACACTCATGTTTATTGTGGATGTTAAGGCCAATAAGCACCATATCGAACAAGCTGTGAAGAAGCTCTATGACATTGACATTGCCAAGATCAATACTCTAATCAGGCCTGACGGAGAGAAGAAGGCATATGTTTGACTGGCTCCCAATTATGATGCATTGCATGGTGCCAACAATATTGGGATCATCTAAACTGAGTCCAGCTGGATAATACTTTTTTCCCCAGTTAAAAAAAATACATTTTAGAATAAGATTTATGGACCAGTTGACAATAACATCTCAATGTCAGTTTCCTGGCTTTGACACATATTGTACAGTAACAGTCCAAGATATCGCCATGGAGGGAAGTCGGCTGAGGGTATGTGGGACTCTGTACTATTTTTACAACTTCCTGTGTGTCTGTAATTATTCCAAAATAAAAGACTGAAAAAGCCCCACCAGTAACCTTTAGTCAGGATCATCTAACACTCCTGACATTTGGAGGAGCCAGTGCTGGAAAATGAATCTAAGTGAACAAACCCCATTCACAGCAATGCTTCTATTTTTATTACTATTATTGAATATAAATACATGATTTATTCATATGGTCCATGACTTTTAATCTATAAATAAGGTATAGAGTGAATAATCTTTACTCCAACCACTTAGTTCTCTTCTCTCTGGGTGACTAGTGTTAATGGTATTCATTTTTATGCTAATTGTAGTGAGATTGTATTATTCAAAAATAAATACAAATATAAGCACACACATATAAGCACTTGTGAGTGTGTATGTATGGACACTTGTATATGTGTGTAAATACGTGTGCTCACTGTTATGTGTCAGGATGTTCCCCCAAAAGCCTCCTGAAGTCATGGGAGTGGGCTTGCCAGAGGCAACTGAAGCTAGAGTTTGTGACTGGTTCCTTGCCTTGGGATTAGCAGTGTGAGTGCTGCACCCGCCCCAGGGCGGGTAGCCTGCATGCAATATAAGGGAGGGAAGGAGGCTGGAGGCTGCATCCTCCCTTTTGGCTCTATTTGTTCTAGCTACTTTTGCTGTCTTCTGCCTCCATAAACTGTTGCCCTCTGCCATGTGCCAGCCTGCCTCCGAGCCAGCTGATTAGGACCCGAAACCTCCACCAACTGGCACCTAATAGACTTTTCCTTCCTTAATTTTGGGCATCAGGTGTTTTTGTCCCAGCGACAAGAGAAGTAACTGTGACACACATGCATTGGGGGGTACCATTTGCTAGGCGCTACTGTTTATCTTACATTGTGGTCATGCGTCTTGGTGGCTTTTTCATCAGTGCATCGAGAGCTTCCTTTGCTTTTGGTGTGGTTGTGCCCTGTCTTCTTTTATGACCCCCAATTAGTGGACAGTTATGTTGTTTCCAGTCCTCTTGCTTTTATAAACAATACTGCAGAATAATTACATGCATCAGTCATTTCCCAAGTGTGGGAGTGTGTTTGAAGAATAAATTCTTAGAAGTAGAATCGGGTCAAAGGGCAAGAGCCTTGCCATCTTGATAGCGCTAAATTGTCCTCTGCAGAGCTTATTCCACTTAGAAGCCCACCAGTAGTGTGTTTTATAAGATGCTTGTATAAATGCAATGCATTTAAAACGGTATTTGGTGACCCCTTTGTGAGTTGGATGGGCCTTTAACGAAGAAAAACACAACCACACAAGGTTTTGTGTACAATTTCAGTGAGCTTAGAGACCCACAAAAGGCATCCTTGAAACCTGCTATGAGACTTGCTGATGGTGCCGCTGTGCAGTAAAGAGGAAAGAGTTGGAGAGCAAACCACTAAATTCACATTTCAGTCTTAACCCTCAGGTCTGTGGAACACTGGGGAAGTGACTCTACTTCTTTGAGCTTTGACTTCCTCTTTGAATGAAAGATAGAATAATTTTACCTCACAAACACTTGTGAAATACACGCATCCCTTTATGTAAAGCGTTCAGCATAGTGTGAGGAATACGGTAGTTTGACGTATGGCTTGGTACACATACACTTGTGTGCACACATTCCCATGCACGTGAAGGCTGGATTTTAATTCAACCTCTGGCTCCAGGTGTCCCTGTAGTCACTGCTACTGGATTCACTAGATGACCTGTGGATCAGTGTTCCCCAAAGTGGGGCCCTTGGACCAACTGTGTGAGAATCACTTGAAGATTTTAATTCAAATGCGGATGCCTGAGTCTCTCTTCAGATCCATGGAATTAGAATTTCCAGAAGTGAACCCAAGGAGCTTCACACTTGGGAATTCTCAAACATGCTGAAGGTGGCAAAGAGCACTAACGAGTTTGGAAAGTTCTTTCTCCTCCCTAGATGTTATGGTTTGTGTCTAGTTGTTCCCACCCCCTCAAGCCTCATGCAGTCATGGGGTGGACTTTTAGAGTTTGTGATTAACCCATGACCGACTGGGATTATGTGTGTGAATGCAGCTGGGATTATGGGTGAGTACTGCACCCAGCCGGGGGCTGACACCCTGAATGAGAGAGACAGACTTGCTCTCTGTAGCCATTGTTGCTGCTGCTTCTCCCTTTTGCTCTTGCTCTTTGCTGCCACCATGAATGGCTTCTCTCTGCTATATGCTGCTCTGGTGCCGCTCTGTCTTGGAGCTAGCTCAGTGTGGACTGAAACCTCCAGTAACTGTGAGCTAAATAAACCTTTCCTACCCTAACTTTGAGTGTCTGGTATTTGTCCCAGCAATGAGAAAAGAGTAACTGAGACACTAAACTTCAAGTCTAGTGGCTCCTACCATGAGCATTTGCCAGTAGGAGGCTGGACCAGCAGATGGACAGGTGTGGACACCTGAAACAAAGGCAGCCACCCTTAGTTTCATCAACAAAAATTAGCATTATTAATGTGGGTAATTGATAACATGCCTCCACCTCCAGCAGCAGCAGTCTCTCTTAACACTTGGGAGGAGAGAGAACCCAGGAGTACATGCCAGCGGAAGGAGCCAGGAGGGAAGCCCGGTAGGACTTGAGTGGAGAAAGCCTGCCACAAGGATGGTGACTGACCTATGCCAAAGTCCCAGGAATAGGACTGTGCCTGCCTCAGCAGGCATCACCAGGAGGGCTTGCGACCACAGGTATTGGCGCTCCTGTCCCTACTGCTACTGCTCGCAACTGCTGAATGTTCCCTGGGGTGACAAGTGCTGGCCTAGGGTGAGGTCTCCTAGATTTAGCAAACACAATACAAGATGCTCAATTAAATTTGAACTCCACATGAACAACACACACTCTTTTAGAACAGCATACCCCATATAATATCTGGGACTTGCACTGGAATGATTATGTGGTGGTTTTATTTTTTTCTTAATTTGAAATTTAAGTGTAACTGGTTTGTTTTTGTTTTTTTGTAATTATCTAGCTATCTTACACGGGGCTTTTTGGGCTGTCTCTAATCCCAGAAGGCCTGGAGACACTATGGAGGTTTCCTAGCTTGGTGCCCTGCGGTCTTGGCCTTGAATGGGAACTGTACCCTGGGCAGGTGGAGAATGAACAGGTTGTGGACTTCCAGTAGAGAGACAGCCCTTGCCCATGGGGCAGGCCACAGGTAGGAAGACAACACATGGTGGTCCAGCGCTTAGGAAAGCTGGCCCCCAGATACCTGCCGTCTGTTATGGTTAGTGTCTAGGTGTCCCCCCAAAGCCTTGTGCAGTCATGGGGAGGCTTCTGGGGTTTGTGATTGATTACTGTGGGTGAGGATGCTGCACCTGCCCTGGGGCTGGTAATTTGCAGTCGAATGTGAGTAGGGGAAAAGGGCTAGCTAGCTGTGGCCACTCCTTTTGCTCTCTGCTCTTTGCCACCACCATGAAAGTTTGCTCTCTGCCATGTGCCGCTCTGCCTTGGAGCCAGCTGAGTATGGACTCAAACCTCTAGTAACTGTGAGTTAAACAAACCTTTCCTTCCTTCATTTTGAGTGTTGGGTATTTGTCCCAGCAATGAGAGAAGAGTACCTGAGACACCAACTCATTTCATTCCCCTACTAACCCAGGGAATCAGGTATTCTTTCTATTATCCCCAACCCCAAATACACACACACTTTACAGATGAGGAGACTGAGGTGTCCAAAATACTGGCACCACAGGGCTATTAAATGGGGGACCAGGGATTGACCCTTGGGGCTGGTGCCAGCTCTGGGATTAGCCGAATCTCCCAGGCTTTTCTCTCTGGAAACCCTAGGGTTGAAGGTGGGAGGAGCCCCAGCCCCCAAATCCTCAGCACAGGAACCTTTCCCAATCCCCCTGGCACTGGGCCAGGGTCTTATCCAGGCTCACATGCTTGCTGGGGACTCCTGGGTCACGGGTGCGTCTGCAGAGCCCCTGCATCCTTTCTCCAGCCCTGGGTGGGGGTGAGGGGTCCAGCTGCACGAGTCACCCATGGATGCTGTCATCTGCTGTGTGGGCAACATGGGAGGGGCCCAGGGTGAGTGGCTGTCTCACAGGCCCAGCCTGCCCTGAGGCCTGAGGCTGGCCAGGGGGTACCCTGCCTGTAGCCACAGAGCCAGGCTGCAGGGGTCTCCTGGAAGAACTCCGGCTGCAAGTCCCAGCCCCTCTTGGAGGAGGCGGGCAGCTGAGGCTCTTTGCAGCCAGAGGCTTCCCAGCTTGGAGCTCTGGAGCCAGATGTAACATTGACCTTAAATGGTAAAAGCTCCCCAGAGTGAAGAGAGGCTGGCCAGAGGAGGAAAGGGGGAATAACTCAGTTTTAGGTAAGTCATCGCTATATCCTAGAATAACCTGCCTCTTCAGCCGGGAGGGAAGCAGCGGGAACCATTCTCCTCCTTAAAGGTACAGGGTGCTGGGACGGGGGGACTTGGCTTGAACTTTCTAGGGGAGTTGGCTTTGTTGGGTGGTATTTCAGTGGAGTGTCTATTGTTGCTGACTTAAGTTTTAAGTAAAAAGTGAATCTAGCCGGTCCTAGTGCAGTTCTGCTGGGCTGGCTTTGCTGGCTCATGGAGGACATACACACCCTGGGCCAAGTGTGGATTCTCCCGGGAGGCTGCCCCGCTACCCCCCAGCTTTCACAGGGGCCCGCTGTGGCAGCAGAGGGGTTATGCAAGCTCCCCCGGCCAGGCTTCTCCCTTCTGTGCTTCCGGTGTGCCTGTGTCTCTCATTGGGTCCCTTGTGCCCCTGCCCTGTGCTGGGCCGGCCCTATCTCACCCTTGACCCTGCCCCTACCGCAGCCCCTGTCCCTCTTGTGCTGTGCTCATAGCCCATGTTTATCTGTCTCCATCTCTCCTTGTGGTCTCCAGTTCTCTTGCTTCCTGTACCCTTGCCTGGCCCCTCAAAGGGCTCCACGCTCTGTGTCTCTGCCTGGGCCCAGCCCGGTTTTCCTCCAGGGCCCGGCTTGAAGCTGTTCCTAGAGTGAACTGTGCTCAGCCCGGCTTTCTCAGAAGGGAAGGCCAGTGACAGCCAGAGGCCAGCTGCCTCGCTCCCTCCTGCACCGTGCGAGGTCATAAAAGCTGGAGAGGCTCTGCACTTGGTGTAAACAGCCGCGCAGCCAGGACCCCTGGCCAGCCCGCCAGCCCGCCAGCTGGCCGCCCAGGGTGGCAGCTGCCGCTCTCCTAGCACCTCAGGCAGCTGTGGGGGCAGGCTCAGGGGTGGCTGGCTGGGCCCGCTGCAGGGAAAGGCAGGAGCTGCCCAGGCTGTTATGCTGCAGTGTCGGGGTGGTGACACATCCATGAGGACAGTAGAGTTGCCCACCCTCACCCTAATACAGTTATGAAGGGGAAACTCGGGTGAGAGACTTACCTTGGGTCAGGGCACCGAGAAGAAGCAGAGCTGGGACTTGAACCCGGATCTGTATGCCTCTAACTCCAGGGCTCCTGCCCTTTAAAATAACTATGTGGGCCACAGGGGTCTTGCGATTAGTGACTGGATGGGCAAAACAGTTGGCTTCATCATGTTTGTTTGCTCTGTGATCCAGTGGGGTATGCGTGTGTGTGTGTGTGTGTGTGTGCGCACGCGCATGTGTGTGTGTGTTCCTGCACTTGTGTTGGGGGTGGCTGGATTCACTACTAATTGTCCCTCTATAGGTGACGGTACGTGAGGCTTCCCTACATGTCTTTTCAGGACTTTTGGCAAGGAGTCGCTACGCTACTTGCGACTACATCGTCAGGCAGCCCCGTCCATAGGTTTGTGGTGGGTGGGAGAGCAAGCACATCGTGTCCAACGCTGAGCACTGTTCTAAGCCTTTCCTGCACCGTAGCTCTCCGTTTCCACGGCCTACACAGCAGGGACTGTATGGTCACTGTTCCTCATCTGGTAACACCAAGTGTCATGCTGCCAGCCTTTGACCCTAGACAGCTGTCCCTGGAGACTGACCTGGGCCACCGTGCCCTGTTCACCTCTGCTCTGTCCTGTCTCTGAGCAGAGCACAAGAGAAACACTGATCCTCTTCCAGCGCTGCCTCTGGGCTGTCACACGTGGTGGCACAAGCCCCTTGGGGCAGTGCTAGGAGTGATGTATCGTTACCTCAGTTTGACAGGTAGGACAATGGATCTAATGGGGTTAAAGGACTTGTCCAAGCTCACCCGGCCACCAAGAGGCAGAGCAGGGGATTTAGGCAGCATCTTGAGTACGAATGTTGTTAGGGACATTGGACACCTTCCATGGAAACCAAATTCTCCACTGGCCTGGGAGGGTCATGGTTTTGGGGAGAAGCATTTGTGGGCCCATGAGAGAAATCTAGAGTGTATTCCTGGTGGGCTGAGATGCCCAGAATGGGTTCTCAGCTTCTCCGACAGCCCAGCCTTTTCCCTCTGCAGCCTGTGTAATGAAGGGGGACAGATGTGCCCCGCACTTCTAGCAAGAGTAGAAACTGAACCCAGAGCTTCCCACTGTGTGCCCATGGCCCAGAATGATGCCAGGAGCATGCCAAGTACTCAAGAACAGTTACCTTTGGGTGAATAAATGGCCATAATGTTTACTGCAAAGTGTGTCCTGGTTAAACAGGGACCTGGGTTTATTACACACATGTTGCTGATGGCCGGCTTTTCTAGTCTGACTTCAAAGGATGCGCGGGGCGGGGGGTGGTCTTCACATATCACTCAGCCCACCTGCCCCTGTTCATGGTGGTCCCACAGAGCCACTGGGCTGTCCACAGCTTCCTTACTTTGCCGTCACCAGAGCCAGGTGGATGGAGAGGAGGGAGCCTGCAGCCCTCAGCTTCTGCCCCTGCCCCTGTGCTGTGGGGAGCTCCTGAGTCAGAGGGAGGCCGAGAAGGGTGAGGCAGTGTGGAGTACGCAAAAGGAAAGAGGGGGAAGAAATCGATATTCATTAACGAACTCTTACCTTGCGCTCGGATCTGGGTCAGATTATTTAATTTAACCCTGTGTTAGAGAGGAGCGGCCTGTGGTTCTGAGAGGCACCCAGCTACTGGCTGCTGAAGATGGGCCCTTTCTGTGTCAGAGTCCACCTTGTCTCTCACTAGCTCAGGGGTGGCTCTTGAGCTTGCAGTCTAGACCACCGGAGAAGCTAGAATAGAGGGAAAGGGTTGGCATGCTTGGCCTGGACCTTGCAGGCCAGACTGGGAGTTGAGGTCACAGCCCAGGCCAGTCTCACCTGAGGACCTTGAGACCTTGCAAAGCCTTGCAGAGGTGACACCTGCCCAGGACAGTACACAACCCCACCCTGCCGCAGCTCTGCCCAGGGGGAACAGAAAGTAGGTAGCAGGCAGGCAGAGAGGAAACCCTTCTCAGCCAGAACAAAACAAAACATAACAAATTAAAACAAAGCAAAGCAAAGCAACAGTTTGCTAAGGCTGGGCTTAGCTCTGGTTGCTTTCTTCTATTACTTCTTAAAATGTATACTTTTTAAATTCATTTTTCTGGTCTATGTTCCTTGTTCAATTTTCTTAGGCAATATGAAAATAACTATGAATAAGAGATCTAGAAATAAGTATAAAGAGTTTAAAACCCTCCAGAATTCCATCACTCAGAGATAAGTACTATTCATGTTATGAGATGTTGCTTTTGTTGTATTTCTTTTTTTTTTGGTGGAACTGGAGATTGAACTCAGGCCCTTGCACTTGCCAGGGAAGCGCTTGTTCCACCGAGCCATCTCCCCGGTCCCTGTTGTATTTCTTTATACTTTAGAAAACTAAGCTCTTACAGGAAATGCAATTTTGTGGTCTTCTTTACTTTAACTGAGCATTCCATTACAATTTTTCCCCAATTATTAAAGATCATTTAGGACACTTCAGTGGCTGGATAAAATATAGTCATTGTAGTTGGTGACGGCCTGATCACCCTTCCTGTCGCTGGTGTTTACAGTGTGGGTTTTCTTCTTCCCTATCTCAGTGATACACACAGTGTGCCTGTTTCCTATACATTTGTGGCATTTGGGACTCAGCTCTCAGTGGTGGGCCTATGTGGTGTGGCCCACAGTGTGACCACGCTCTGCAGGACGACGCTATGTAAGAGCCAGACCCAGCCTTACACATGCGAGAACGTCACTTTCCTTTCAGTTCTTCTCGGTCCTTCGTGTTAAGGAGGGATCCCCCGAGGTGACCAGTTGTGTGTGTTTGTCTGTGGACAGGCCTGGGCAGATCGGGGAGCTGGTCACCCTCGTGTGAACCTTGTGCTTCAAACTCTTTCTGACACTCTTTCATGTCTCTTCTGGACAAAAGGACAGCAGGACTCAGGCAGGGAGCTGTTGGTATGCACTAGCAAACATTTAATAATTGTTTCCATTACATTTATTTTTACCATAGCTATTTGTGGTAGAGATTTTCTTACTTAAAATAGGGACATAAAGTTTCCCTTTAAATCAGTGTAGTGATGGTGGTAGCTAGTGAACCCTGGTAGTAGGTACCGTCATTATCTTCAACATACAGATAAGGAAACTGAGGCACAGAAGGAACCTGCCCAACTACACAAAGCCAGTAAATGGCAGGTCCAGGATTTCAATCTTGCCTTTGGGACTATGGTTGAGATTATGGTTATTATTATTTTATTAATTTTTTTTAGGGGGAAAGGGTTTTTTTTGGTCTTTTTTGTTGTTGTTGTTGAAACAGAATCTCACTGTGCAGCTCAGGCTGGCCTTGAACTCACTTTGTAGCCCAGGCTTGCTTTGAGCTTGCAAAGATTCTCCTGCCTCAGCCTCCCGAGTGCTGGGATTACAGGAATGTGCCACCACATCCTGCTAGGGGAAAAGGCTTAGTTAGCTCACAGTTTGAAGAGGTTTCAGTCCATAGTCAGCTGGCTGAGTGACACATGGCAGATGGACAATAGCTCTAGGTGGCAGAAGACAGCAAAAGCAACAACAGAGAGAGGAAGTGGGAGAGGTGAGTGGAATGGGGCTTATGGTGATTGAAGTGAAATTATATTAAGTAAATGTACAGATGAAATAAGGACATGAGTAGAAAAAGAAAAAGTGAGTAGTGTGCAAAGGACTCCAGGGGCATGATGGAGTCAGGGTGCCACGAACGTAGGGTGTAGGTGACACAGAGAAAAGCCTAGGGAGCAGCCGGGAGAGGCTGACCACACACTTCTCGCAGCCTGGCCTTGGGGGAGGGGTGTCATTCCCAGGGTGGCCTCCCTGGAGAGGGACACACAGAGGCCAGAGAGTTCTCATGCTGACCCAGCATCAAAGAGGCTGTTTCCAGAAAGCCTCTGATCACCAGAGGGAAAAAGCTTGAAGACTGCTTGACTTGCGCGCTCATGCCAGTGTGGTCCAAGGCTCACTGACCTGGCTAGGGCCGTGGGCT